ATACGTCGGAAACAGTCAAAGGGTTAATATATTTTAGATGGGGTAGTAAAGAAGTAATGCGTAGGGTGTTGGGAGAGGGGTTGGGGATTAATTATGGGGAATCAAATTCAAAAAGGGAATTGACACAGTTACTTTTTGCTGATGATACTGTGCTTATGGGAGATTCTAAAGAAAAAATTGCAAAGGTTAGTGGATGAGTTTGAGAATGTGTGTAAAGGTAGAAAGTTGAAAGTGAACAAAGAAAGAGTATAAGGTGCTGGGGTATCAAATGATTTAGATAAAGAAAAAATTGGATATCTCAATTTGGAGGAGGAGTATTGGAAGAAGTGAATGTTTCAGATATTGGGAGTTGACGTCGTCGGCGGGATGGATATATGACGGATGAGGTTATCATAGAATTGATGAGGGAAAAAAAAGGTGCAGTGGTGCGTTGAGGTATATTGTGGGAGTCAAAAAAAAACGTTATCTATGGAGACAAAGGAAGGGAATGTATTGAAAGTATAGTAGTACCATCACTCTTATATGGGGATGTGAAGCTTGGGTGTGGTAAATGCTGCAGGAGGAGACGGTTGGAGGCAGTGGAGATGTCCAGTCTAAGGGCATGTGTGGTGTAAATATTATGCAGAAAAATTCGGAGGTGTGGAAATTAGAGAAGGTGTGGAGTTAATAAAAACCATTAGTCAGGGGCAGAAGAGGGGTTGTTGAGGTGGTTTGGTCATTTAGAGAGGAATGGATCAAAGCTAGAATGACATGGAAAGTATAAATCTAAGGGAAGGAACGAGGGTTACGGGGTCAGTCCTCGAAAGCGGGTTGGAAGGAGGGGGTAGGGGAGGTTTTGTGGGTGAAGAGCTTGGACTTCCAGCAAGCGTGCATGAGCGTGTTAGATAGGAGTGAATGGAGGACGAATGATACTTGGGACCTGACGATCTGTTGGAGTGTGAGCAGGGTAATATTTAGTGAAGGGATTCAGGTAAACCGGTTATCTTTCATATCGTCGGACTTGGTCTGGACTGGGAATTACATGCCTGCATTTTTAAAGGAGGGGTTTGGGATACAGTGGACCCCCGGTTAACGATTTTAATCCGTGCAAGAGGGCTCATCGTTATGCGAAATAAATGTTTTATGCGAATGAATTTTCCCCATAAGAATAATGGAAATAAAATTAATCCGTGCAAGACGCCCCAAAAGTATGAAAAAAAAAAAAATTTTTTTTTTACCACATGAAATGTTAATTTTTAATACACACAAACTGAAAAAAGGCATGCACAATTACATGACACTTACTTTTCATGAGATCTGGTGGATGTTGAAGGGATGGGAGGAGGTAGAGCGAGCGAGAGCATTATCTTTTACTGTTTAGAGGGGAATCCCCTTCATTAGGACTTGAAGGTAGCAAGTCCTTTTCCTGGGGGTTTACTTCCCTTCTCTTTTAATGCCACTAGGACCAGCTTGAGAGTCACGGACTCTGTCGCACCACAAACAAATTGTCCATAGGAGCTCCCTCTGTACCTCCGTTCCTTCAAGGGACTTTTCCTAAAATGGGCCATAACATTGTCATTGAAATAGTCACAAGCACGCTTTGCAAACAGCTGCTGTCAGGGTGATTTTATATATAAAGGTTTGCAGTTCAACCCACTCTGCACACATTTCCTTAATCTTGAAGTAGGCACAATGGGAATTCCAGACAACTGGCATAGGCTTCTCAGGGTTAGCCCCAAACCCTTCAAAATCTTTCTTAATTTCCATACTAATTCTCACCTTTTTACCACAGGGTTGGCACTGAAGCTTTCTTGGGGCCCATGGTCCTTATTTTCCAGAAACCAGCACGAAAATACTGTAATAATACGAATATTCCGAGTTCTGCTTGGATGTCTACCGCGGAGGCTGGTGGTAAACAATTGGGACGGAGCGGCACATGTGAGGTTGTGGAGGGCACATTGGAGCGTCTCGGACGAAAATCGGTATGCGGTTTTTAATCGGTTATGGCGGCAAAAATTTTGCGATGTAAAAGTATCGTTATGCAGGAAAAATCGCTATGCGATGGGGGGTCCATGTTATGCGGGGGTCCACTGTATTTGGCAGTTTGGAGGGATATGTTGTGTATCTCCTATACCGTATATGCTTCTAAAAATGTTGTATTCTGAGCACCTCTGCAAAAGCAGTGATAATGTGTGTGTTGTGGTGGAAAGAGGTGAATGATGATGACAGTATTTTCTTTTTGGGGATTTTCTTTCTTTTTTTTGGGTCACCCAGCCTCGGTGGGAGACGACCCGACTTGTTGAAAAAAAAAAAAAAAAATATATATATATAATATATTATATATACTATATATATATATATATATATATATATCCTAGGTAGTAGGTTGGTAGACAGCAACGTCAGGGAGGTACTACACGTCTGCCAAGTGAGTGTAAACAGGAAGGCCTGTAATTGTTTTATTCGATGGTAGGATGCTTTTGTCTTTTTTTCTGTCTATACAACATGGCTAAGATTTCAGGAACGTCATTGCTACTTCTACTACAGTTAGGTCACACTACACATATACTGTACAAGCCATATATATACACACCCCTCTGGGTTTTCTTTATTTTCTTATAGTTATGTACCTGTTTATTTCCTCTTATCTCCATGGGGAAGTGGAACAGAATTCTTCCTCAGTAAAGTATGCGTGTTTTAAGAGGCGACTAAATGCCGGGAGCTAAGGGGCTAGTAACCCCTTCTCCTGTTATAAATTACTAATATTTTAGAAAGAGAAATTTGTTTTTCTTTTTGGGCACCTGCCTTGGTGGGTACGGCCGGTTTTGTTGAATGCCCCCCACCCAAAGCAAATATATATATCTTTCTTTCTTTTCAACAAACGGCCGTATCCCACCCGAGGCAGGGTGGCCAGAAGACAAACAAAAAGGTTTCTCTTTTTAAATTTAGTAATTTATAGAGAGAAGGGGTTACTAGCCCTTGCTCCCAGCATTTTAGTGCCTTTACAACACGCATGGCTTACGGAGGAAGAATTCTGGTTCCATTTCCCCATGTGGAGATAACAGGAAATAAAACAAGAAAAAAGAACTAGTAAGAGTAAAATAGAAGAAAACCAGGGCTGTGTGTGTATATATAATATATATGCTTGCACTTGTTATGTGTAGTGTGACCTTAGTGTAAAAGTAGTACGCAAGACGTACCTGAAATCTTGCCTGTTTATTGAGACAGAAAAAAAAAAGAACCGAAACCTACCATCATGCAAAACAATTACAGGTTTCTGTTTTACACTCACTTAGTTTTGAAAAGCCCTCATGCAGAGGTTAGTGGAGATAGACATACAAGTTTACCCCTTGCTTTATGAAATAGGTGCATTCCATTACCTAGACAGCTGTACTAAGCTCATTTAGGCCATCAACATTAATTCCACAAAATATTTAAGAAGTTTTGTGAACCACACAAATTGCATACAGCAAGCATATATCATACATACAGAATTTTCTATATAAATGAGAATAGCATGATAGCAAATTTACATAAATGAAGGTCACGTGAAGCAAGACACCCATATCATTTATATAAGGGATGAGAATACCCATGCCAATTATTATTTATATTAATATTACTATTATTATTATTATGAATATATAGTTTTTGGACCAAGCACTAAACCCACAGGGTCATAAAGCACCTGGGAAATTAAGAGGCAATTAGATTCAATCCACAGGAGAGGAGAAAAGGGAATTTTTTCCCACTCTTTGCATCAAGAATCCCTCAATGGCATCAAGGAAACTTCTTGGAGAGAGTAACCATGGCAAGTACCCTTGCCATGCAAGGGTACTTGCACATGCAGGATGCGAACCTACTAGACGTGTGTGGTGGCATAAATGTGAACTTATAGTTCACATTTTTATAAGTAGAACTTATAGTTCACATTTTTGTAAGTATAACTTATTGATCCCTGACAAGGGTGAAATGCTAAACATGTTTCCTTACACCTGCTGCCTGTTCACCTAATAGTAAATAGGTACCTGGGCATTAGCCAACTGGTGTGGGTCGCATCCTGAAAATGCCCTGGCATGATAGTGGCTTTCTTTGTACTTAACAAATCAAAATAGTAAAAACACAAATAACAAAAAAAGCACAATACCATGATTGGAACAATACACAAATAACCCGCACATCGAAGAGAGGAGCTTACGACGACGTGTTGGTATGACTTGGACCAAAATAAAATTTTTTATCTTTATCTTTAATCTAAGTTGCCCAAAATGCTCTGCATAACCAGGAGATTTCTATATAGTATGCCAATGAGGTCAGCAGGGTCTGCATCAGTTGTATTATGTACTTGTAGATTACAGTGGACCCCCGCATAACAATCAGCTCCCAACTCGGAACAATTATGTAAGTGCATTTTTGTCACGTGCTTTTGTTAGGGGTTTATTTTTGGGGCGTCTGAAACAGACTAATTAATTTCACAATATCTCTTATGGGAACAAATCATCGGTTCTATAACGGCACCCAAACAGACTTCTGGATTGAAATAATTATCGTTATCCGGAGGTTCCACTGTATTATTTTCTTTTATTATTATTACTGCGTTAAGGTCGGTAAATATAAGTCAATGTGATTATTGATGAACTTTAAAGGATAGATTGCCATCATATTATACTCATGGTAAAATAGTGCCATTTTGTTCATAATTGAAATTGATATGTTAAAAGGAAGATACAGAAATGTTGGACTGAAGGTTTTTAGAAGGGTGTGTGTATGCCAAGCCATTGGTAGCTTCAATATTATGAGAAGATAAGCCACAAGCTATTAAGAATTTAGTAACATGCAGAAAATGTACATAATTACCATGTTAATGAAAATGCTTCAAGAAACAAATAAAGGACAAAATGAAAGTACACACCTAATCTTTACAGCATATGTTATCAAAAATTCTGATTTTATAACAATCAAAAAGAATATGCATTATAATTAAAATAAATAAATGTAGAAAGTAAAGATAGAAGTATTAATGGCATAAGAGAGGCAATTATAAAAGTAACTTGACCTCAACAGGAATACCCAACTGGTGGGCACGCAGCTTCAGATCTGTATGTGTGGTGGCACCAAGTGGGTCTCCAACCACCAGTAATGCAACATCAATTGACCCAGCACCTACAAACAGGTCATCTGATGCCTGCTCCACCTGCTCCCGATCAGCCAAAATAACCTCACGATTATAAAATTTCTCCTGAAATTTCAAATGAGATTATGTATATTACATTTCAGATTTAAATACATATAGACTAATTTACTATTAAAATTCATACATCAATATGATAAAATTACAAACATACACTATATACAATAAACATATGGGTGTAAATGTATTACATAATGCAATAAGATCACAGTAAACAGGCAATATCAAAATATGCAAAACAACCACTGTGAAAGGATAGTGAAATTCCAAGCGCATTCGTGACTTCTCACATTATCAAGGAACTATAAAAGCATTACATCAAAGGAAGGCATATAAAGGGTCAAGACCACACCTCACCATCACATCCCACAACAAAGCAACACCTGACGCTCGACGACACCAGATTCACAAGAAAGGAAGAACACTGCAGCAGGCCCATTGGCCCAACTAGACAGGTCCTTCACGACAACCCACTAAAAAAAAATATTTGCCCAGACCCAGTACTCTGCCCAAGAATTAAGATTTATTATTTGTCCAATGTATTATTAAATTCTTCCCAAATTTTATTAATTATAAATGAATCTAATTTATATAAACCAAAGGAAATATTCATATTATTTTCAAAACTGCTTTTTATGAAATGAGATTCAATTATATTCCTGTCGACCATGGACTTGCTTGATACAACTTTCTCAATGTTGTATCAAGTGGGATGTCGTGAAGGACCTGCCTAGTTGGGCCAACGGGCCTGCTGCAGTGTTGTTCCTTTCTTATGAGTCGGGTGTTATCGCACTTCAGGTGTTGCTTTGTTGTGGGATGTCATGGTGAGGTGTGGTCTCGACCCTTTATATGCCTTCCTTTGATGTAATGCTTTTATAGTTCCTTGATAATGTGAGAAGTCAAGAAAGTGCTGGAATGTCACTATCCTTTCACAGTGGTTGTTCTGCACATTACATAATGTAAAATTAAGGAAGTGCACATCAATACAGCTCATAACTGACCAATGCCTCCTTTCCACCACTGATAATTGAGGTGTATGCTTCCAAGTAGACTCGTTGACACTTCTTAATGACCTCCAACCCCCGCACTGTCACATCGTGGGGGTCACCCAACCCCAGACCAATGAGGTAAAATACCATAACCTTTATTTACTAAACCTGGAAAGAAATTACAAGTTATTTAATGATGAACCATTAACAGCATGCCAGAGCAGAAAACATGAATATGGAACAAGCATAAGTAAATATAACTTTGCAGAGTCTAATGTATGCAATCAAGCACTGAACATACATGAACAGTTATAAAGGAATGGAATAAATTACTTCATAATAAAGGCAGTAATATTCTTAATCGTGAGCTTAACCTGGTCAGTCACACCAAAATTCAAATAAACATAAATAAATGTTAGCAATTTTAGGCTGTAAATTCTTAAATGAAATCAAAATCATTGAAGGATGCCTCACAGCAGAAATCAGACAGAGCTTATAAGTTTATAATAATTATTATTATAATCAAAAAGAAGCGCTAAGCCACAAGGGCTATACAGCAAGTTTATAATAAGAACAAGTTAACTACACCATGGAGTAAAGTTATTTCTTGGGCAAATTCTTATTTGGGGAGATACTAACAAAAGCAATTTTTTTTTTGCACAAGCAGAACATCAGAACTAATCAATGCTTAGCACTTTATTAATACATTCAAGGGGTCATATAGCAACTTAAGGGCATGTAAGGCACTCAGGTTTGAACCTGGAAAAAAAGTAATTCCTTGGATCAAAAACCACTCCTTCAAAGAACTACTAATGAGCGGAATGCTTAGTGATGCCTGGCCAATCACAGCGAACATAAAGACCGTTGGCAGAGTAAGGTTAAGTTATCTTAGGTTGGATTTGGTGGGTTTTATCAGGTTAGGTTTCTTACCATTTTTTACAACACATCAGCAATGTAAAATCCACTAAATAGTGCACACGTTAAACTATATTTCATTAATGCAAAAATTTGCTGAGGAGCAACATTAGTTAATACCCAGCGCTCATCTTACAACCAAATCATTACCATTATAATTACTAAATACATAACTCATTTACCTTATTCCTAGTATATAACCGTTCATTGTTTAAATAATAAGTTATTACAAGGACCCCAATGGAAATAAGTCACTCAGATTTTTTGGGGGTTATCCTAGGTGATCTACTGATGCTGGTACGTATGCATAATTTCTGTAACTGTATTTATGTGTACCTGTACCTGAATAAACTTTCTTACTAACTGCCTAGTTTATTATTTCACTTCGTAAAGTTGTCTGAATAATTACATGTACCTTCTGAAGAAGGGATAACAAAGGCAATGATACAAGCTAATACTTCAGGTAGTTTCACAATAGGCTGGCAAATTATGACCGGTTACTTAGAGGAAAAACCTGTCTAGTATATGCCACAATAGTCCTACTGTTGTGCCCTTGTATGGTTACTTTATTTAACGAGACTTCACCATTCAAACACCATCCTTCACACTTTAAGCGAAGTTTAACACACAATTACTTCACTTTAGCGCTGTTTCTACGTCCTTTGCTACTATTTAAAATCTAAACACTTATTTACAGGAGTGATGTTGAATATTCACAGTGTTCACGGCAAGTTCAACACCCATATATCACGAGTTTAAAAAAACAATACCAGACAGTAATGTTCAAAGTAGCAGCAGCAGCAGCATGTGGTCCACCTGGCTGCTCTCCCTCAACATTCTCTTACTCTTAACTAAAAAACTTCCCTAGGGTGACCTGCAGAGAAAGGCCATCGGTGCCTCCACACATCAAGAGATAAGAGTGACAGCTTTAATAAAACTCAGACTAATTTCGTAACCCCCAGTGGTAAAATTGTTGTAATATCACAAGACAAAGAGATCATCAGTATCGCCCTGGGCCCCCACACCACTGTCGTCCTTTTAACTTAAACTTATTTAAAGATAAATACTCATTATAGAACACATTTACACAGTATTGAACTTTTCTTTTACATATTTTACTATGTAAAATGGCAATTTCACGTGGCTGCTTGCCACACTTCATTGATTTTTTTATCTTTACGATATAATTTAATCCCAGAAAAACGTTGTCTTCAAATTCCAGACATATTTCCTGCAGCGTCAACACAATTCAATTCAATTCAATTCAAGTTTATTCTCTATAAGGGTTACAATGTGGGGTTTACAGGTTTTGGGTATTGTGTGGTTTACATGTTATAAAATACTAATTACAGAGGGGGCCACTAGGACACCTAGCATGGCTAGGCATTTCGAGCAGACTTAGATTAATTTGAGCACACATACAGAGGTACAAAAAAATACAGATAAGAGCAGCATGCCAAAGCCACTTATACTATGCATAGCATTACGGGCTGGCTTAAAATTAACTTAAGATTAACTAAGCAATGATGAAATCAGTGATAAAACATTAATGTAAACAGATTACTATAAAGCACAAGTGAGTATTACAAAGACAGGTCATATGGTTGCATGCTTGTTGTACATTCGTGTAGGAGTATTTTTTTGGTGTTTTTTAAAAAAAATAATAAGTTAGATTCGGTTTTAGGTTAACATTTATGTGATAAAATTTGTGAGAAACATTTAAGATATACTTTTTATAAGGTTCGTTATTCAGTATTTATTTGGTTTGGGGGTGGGTGATCTTTAAAGAGACTTGAATTTATAAAAGGGTAGTTTTTTTTTTTAAATTTTTAAGGTAATGAATTCCAATTTTTAGGGCCTTTTATGTGCATTGAGTTTTTGCATGTGTGAGGGAACGGGAATAAAAAGAGTGTCTATGCCTTGTGTTATGGTCTGTGTTTTTAGGTTGGAAAGGGAGTTTGTAATGAATGGTTTCAGAAACCGAAGTTGATAAATAGCCCCAATATCAACTTGGGAATTTTCATTGAGGAAAAAAGTTTTGCCACACAGTGGTTCATCATCCATACGAAGGAGAAACTTTAAGAACAGGAGGAGAATGAGGGGAATCAGTCCCTCAAACCCTTTGGTCGATGTCTTCATCCCCCAAACTTGATGGAATGAACACCCTGTTTTTTATGGGAGTAGGGTTTTGTTATTGAATATGGGGGGAGTTGTGCCTGTAGTGAGAATTTGTTATCATTCTACTGCGCCTTTTTTTTGGTAATTAGTGGTCTAGATGGTTAATTGTTGTTTAGCCCCATGCCCAAAAACCCTAGGGGAGTAGGGGGAAAAAAAGAGGTGATAAGGGCCCGGAGACTGATGTGGAGCATAGTACCGTATCTTTGATAGTTGCCCACAGTCTTGGAAATTTTTTTAGAAAATTTTTTGTATATGTTAGAAATTTGATCTTATCAACGTGGATTCCTAAGGGAAATTTTCCTCTGTTAGCTTGTGTAGGTGATCCGTTATCATTTGTTAAAAGGGGGCATCTGTGCTCTGTTACCAAAATGAAAGAAGTACGTTTTGTCAAAGTTTAGTGTAAGTTTGTTAGTCCCCATCCCGGGAGATATTTTCTGTAATTCGGTATTTACAGTATTGGCTAGCGTGACTGGGCTCGGGTGGGAGAAGACGTATGTAGTGCTGCAAATAGTGTGGGTTTGAGCAATTGCGAAGCATTTGGTAGGTCATTTATGTATAGGAGAAAGAGAAGAGGGCCAAGGACATTCCCTGTGGGACACCAACTGTAATTGGTTGTGCAGAAGAGTTTGCCCATTTGCGTACACATATTGGCTTCTGTTGCTGAGGTATGACTTGAGGTAGTTGAGGGAGTGCCCTCTTATACCATAGTGCGACAATTTTGCGTGGAGCAAGTCATGGTCAACTGTATCAAAAGCTTTACGTAAGTCAATGAAGATCCCCAGTGGGACTTCTTTTTTCTCTATTGCAGTGTATATATGTTCTAGCATGTGTATAATAACATCATTAGTATTTTTATTTGGCCTGAGTCCAAATTGGCAGGGGTTGAGTATGTTTTGGGAGATAAGGTAGGAGTAGATTCGTTTATGAATTAATTTTTCAAAGATTTTTGAGAGAGGGTGTAAGTTGGATATTGGCCTATAGTTATTCAACTCTGTTTGGTCTCCTCCTTTGTGGATCGGGGTGACCCTTGCTATTTTGAGTACTGTAGGGAAGGTGGAGGATTCAATGGATTTGTTAAAGAGTGTTGCAATGATTGGTGATAGCATTGTGACACTTTTTTGTATATAAAGGGTGGTAAGGTATTTAAGTCTCCTGCCTTGTTTTTTAGTGCGTTGATAATAAGGGAGACTTCGTATGGGTTAGTCGGAGCTAGGAACAGTGTGTTCGGGTAGTTGCCGGTGAGGTAGTCATTTGGTGGGGTATCTGAGCTTGGGATTTTATTGGCAAGGTTTTGTCCTATAGTGGAGAAGAAATCATTGAGTCTGTTTGCTGTTTCTGTTGGTGGGAGTTGGGGTTCATCTGATTTTGCTAATTTTTTTCGCTATTTCGTGATATCTTTTTTGTTCCCAGAATTTCTGATAGGGTTTTCCAGGTCTTTTTTATATCACCTCGTAAGTTGGATAATCTGTTCTCATAATACAATTTTTTTGCCTTTCTTATCAGGCTGGTTAGGATTGACGAGTAACGTTTTGTTTGGTCTCTGGTTATGTGACCCATTCTGTACTGTTTTTCATATTGGTGTTTTGTATTTATGGATTTGAGAATGCTGGGTGTTAGCCAGGGACTGTTCAGTCTCTTAGCTGTCATCTGTTTAGTTTTTTTAGGGCAGTGCTTGTTATAGAGCAGTGGTTCCCAAACTTTTTCAGCTTGTTACCCAATTTAACATGCCACATAAAGCATGTTACCCCTTTCACAAAATGTTGTTATTATTGATATATATGGCTAAACGTGAACGTATACAGCCTCGCATACTGTACTAATCCTAGCAAAACCATTGAAAACGTAAGAACCACACATACATTATATATATAAAATTAATAATAGCTACAAATTCACAGTAACAGTGGGTAAATACTAACTATATACTGCACAGGGCAGTACACATACATACCAGCTTATGTCTACCTCGGCTGATGCTCACAGATAAACTGACAGTGTGAAATAGAGGCAGCCTCAGGAAGTGAGTGACGCATACTGGACAGGTCGATTGGGCTACTGAGTGACTTTTGTCCTGAAGCATACTTGTCAAAATACTTTTGGGTTTCCACACACTTAGCTATATATTTCTTCTTTTCTAATACTGTATATTAGTTTTTGATGTTTATTGTTATTTGGTTTAACTTTATTACTTACTTATAATAGGTTTACTTTACAACTTTATATACTAAGACAAAGTTAACAATAATCCTCATACCGGGTACCGCATTGTTTTCTTGATTTTCAGAATTCATAACTTTTTTTCTGTCACCTCTCCATTACCCCCCAAAAAGGTTTTTAAAAATTAAAGGGAAACCCCCCTTTTGGAAACTGTTTTAAGGTAGGCTTTTTAAAAAAAAATTTTTTTAAATTGTATTTATAATTTCACCAGTTCCGTCAATTTTGTACTCTGGGGTTGGAATTTTTAAGGCTGCCCTTGGGTCTGGGTACTTTGTAGGGCTGGGGTAACCAAGGTTGTTATAGGAAAGTGGGGTAGGTTGGGGATTATTGAATTAAGGATTTTGGGGGAATGGTGGGCCAAAATTGGTAAGTGGGAAAAAATTTGAAATTTGTGGGTTTTTTTTGGTTGGGAAAACAAATTTTCCTTTGTGTTTGGTTAGAAATTGGGTCCTGTTTAGAAATTTTTAAGCATAATAAAGGTTTTGTCATGCTGAATTAAAAAGGGTTTTGTAAAATTGTAATTTTTTTTTAATTTTATAAAACTTTTTAATTAATTTTTTTTGGTTTTAAAATGTTTTTCCCAATTTAAAAAACTTCTTTTTTCCGAGAATTAATCCCAGGGGGCGGAATTTGGAGGGCTTTAAACCAAACCAGCACTGACACACTTTAACCCCAAATTTGTTTTTTAAGTTTGGAAAATTTTCAAAAAAAAATGTTGGGGGGAAAAACCTAAAACTATTTTAAAAAAAGATTTTTTTCACAGAATCCCCAGCGCAGTGATAAACAAAAAATTTTGACTTTATATTAAATAAATTGTATGGGATAATTTTTTAACAAAGTTGGTAATTAATTAAAAAATTTTTTTTTATAAAAAAATAAAATTACAAAAAAAAAAAAAAAAGTTTAAATCCAAATTACGAATTAAAAAGAACGAAAATTTTAAATACAAGTAAGGAAAAAATTTTAAAATGAAAAACCCAAATAAACCTGCCTAACAAAAAAAAAATTAAAATTACAATAAAAAAACTGGGAAAAAAAACCATCCTTTAAAAATCTTCACAACGTAGATCCCAGCAGTGACCAAAAACTTTTTTAAATCTAAAAGATATTTTTAAAAAAAATCTGGTAAATCCAAAACTTTTCCAAAAAAAAAAATTTTAAAAAAATTGCAACAAAAGCACCCTAAAATTTTACCAACTTCCGCCCCCTTTAATAAAAAAAAAAAAAATTTCTTTAAAAAAACTATAAACTCTCCCCGAAAAAAACCCAAAAATTTAAAATTAAAAAGGAAAAACACCCCGAAAAATTATTTTTGCCAACGGAAAAAAAGGCATGACCAAAATTTTTTAGGTTTTTTAAAAATTTGGCCAAAAAAACTGCCCAAAAATTAAGTCCCCGCACCCCCAATATCCCGCCCCAATTCCTT